GACTAAGAAAAATATCTTTCTGATTCAAGTACTTATAAGTCATCGACTAATATTAGTCAAAAACTAGTTTTTAAGTCTGAACTAAAGAAATTATGCTTTAGTCCACGGATTAAAACATGCTAGATTTTAATCCTGCATAGGGGTAGGATTAATTTCAGTCGTCCACTTTTAACCTAAGCCATTTTTGTGTGTTAAAGTTGAAGGTGATTATGGATTACATTGATTATTATGATTTTTACCGTTTTCGTGGGCCGCGAATTCGTCGTGAGCGGGAAAACAATCCATTTGATGACTTAAATGAGGATGAATTCAGGGATAGGTGTAGCTTTTCAAAAAACTCTGTGAAATAATAAATTAGAAGAGAATAAAATAAAATACTAAATAGAGTTTTAAATAGTTTGTAAATATATTTGTAAATAGTTTAGGGTTTTATCTTGTGCAGACCTCATCCAGAGACATTTTTCTCCTAAAAGTTGTAATATTTCATTTCATACATTCATCATTTAGTATTAAGTTTCTTAAAATATGTTAATTTTGTTCATACACCACTTTATAATTTCCTTGTCTTAAATCACTCATCAGAAAGTCATCCAGATCTATAATGATAGGGCTGGCCTAGTATTCATTTAACTTATTTATACAATTAACTTATTTCTACAATTAACTTATTTAAAAGAAATAGGATGAAACGCCAATCCTAACTTTAAAACTTTCCGATACAACTAGTTTATAATAATAATAATAATAAAGTATATTATAATGATAAATGAATTAAAACAGAAATAACCTCAAAACCAAGGTTTGACTGAGATCGTTGTTTTGTTTACTATTTCAGAGCAGTGGGCACATCAAACTGACGGTGTTGCCAGCACGGCGGCACAAATTACCCTACATTTCCCTTGAAAATCATGAGCTCTTTTAATCTCTGACTTCGCATGGTTTCCAAATAGTATCGAAAAAGTAATTTTCATCCCTTTAAACATCTTATTTAGATTTGTGAGACAACGTTTATTTAATTTGTTCTTTTAATCATTCATTACAAATTTGCCAACTTGTGTTTCAATTCTTATACAAAACATTTAAATATTATCTTTTTTTTCAGTATATTTTATAGGTTTAAATGGTTCCTTAACACGAAAATTGAGGTACCTAACTAATGTTAAAAAGTTAGAATAAGCCCCAAGTTAATGCACTTTAATAGAAAATTAGTTCACCAAATAATACTTTGGTCGCAATGAACTATAATGTTAAGACCAGAACACAATATGTATTGTGTTCGTTCTAACTTTGTGGGTCGAATAGCAAGCAGGTTTGTTTCTACGAAACCGCATACTCTTCTGTAACTAATGTAAACAATAGAAGATACTCTTCTGTAACTAATGTAAACAATACAAGACCAGCTAACAATGCCTGGGAAACGTCTAACGAAACTTCAAAACTTTCCGACATGACTTAAAAGCAAATTTTGTTTAGCTACTGAGTTAGTAAATCAGTCTGTTATTTGGTTACCAGGCGCAAAATTCCTTTGTTTAAATTCAGCGTGTTAAGGAGTAAAATATTTTACACTAGGGAAATTGATAGAATTACACTGGTAGTTTGATACAATTACGAAGAAAAGAACAGCCATTGGGAAACCACCCTACAAATATTCATGCCTAGGGCCAATTAAATGACATACTTGACCATTAAACGGACCTTAACTAACAGACCTTAACTAACGGACCTTAACTAACTGACCTTAACTCAAACGGATCTATTGTAAATACTTCTCGAAGTATTTTTACGCATACCATATTCGAAGGTGATAAATATAATAGTACAGTTTAAAACGGCTATAAATTTTAAAAGTCAAACCGTTCAACATCAGGCCCAATCTATGAATCAGAAGATCAACAGTGCACATCTTATGAATCCAAATAATTAAATAATTAAATAATAATAATTTATAATAATATTGATTAAACAATAAATAGTTTAAATAGTTCAATATAAGTAATCCTGCTAGTCATATGTTCAGGAAACAAATTTCCTGGAGGAATCAAAGTTCAATTTCTCCATTTATTGAGCAAAACTAAGTACTCTTTTACCCATTGCTATCAACAAAATTTGTAACTTTTAACGTAAATTTAATTTTCCATTCTAAAAGTAATCCAACAAATCAACTGAAAGTTTTCTTGATAAAATGTTTTCTGTTAACTCTTACGTTTTAAATAAAAAATATTAAATTCATAAAATATCAATATGTTATAATTTACTGCAATTGTGACTTTATAAGTTATAAGTAAGTGGTATGTTGAAGTGCTGTGCAATTGATAGTCATAAGATACAGAAACTCTGAAACAATTAACTTAATCTCTGAAGTGAGTAATTGTTTCTTGAAATTGATTTACAAAGTTGGAAACTTTTCTTTAAAAAGTTTGCAAATTTAACACAAGGAAATTTTTAAAACTGGACCACATCACTGGATAACTCAATCAGTAATTTCCAGTTCAAATATTTTTCCAGTTGAAATCTAATTGTCCAGCTAAGATACATTAACTGTAGTTTTCATTTCAATAAATTTATTTCTTTACATCAAGGTGTATGTAGCCACAGAAAAGTAACAAATTTGCTGAATTAGAAAAAATCCTTTTTAAATTAAACACAGATTATCTTTCACTTTAAAAAAAATGTCGTGAATCCTTCAATGACTTCTGGCTATCGTTTGAGTTACAAACAAAAGGTAATAATTCTTAATTAGAAGCCTAATTGAAAAAATACGATAACATTGAAGTAACTACACCAGATTGTAACAGTTAATACTTAAATGGCAACGGACTTAAGATTTATAGTTTAGTATACATATAGAGGTTCAGTATGTACACATTTTACTATTGTGTGAGTGTAAATAGGGGATCCAAAGATGACGAATAACACCTTTGACCTACATGAAAAGCGCCTCTCTCGCAAACTTGTCACGTTATCAACACTTTTCTTGTCACAACAACAAGACGAGCTTATCCCCTGCGACATGTGTGTGACATCATTGTGGCAACGATGTGACAAAACAAACTAAATGTGGCAACACTGTTCCAAGAAAACCATAATTTTGTGTAACAAAATAAAGTGAACTCGGCAATTCAAAAAATGTTTTTATTTGGCAATATAAGAAATGGAAGTCGTTGTTTAACTGTTAGGGGATTTATTTAGCTAAAAGACAAACAAGTAATACATCAAGATTAAATATAACACACACATGAGGTTTCATTAGTGAAATATGCTAAATTTATTATTTTCCCCATTATATTTTTATTTGATCCTTAAGACTAGTCCAAGTGATTTTATTATTTACCTGTAACTTACTTTGTAAATCACAATTCTAAGTTTTTCGACTATCAGTCCTTCTTCCTATTAATTAACAGTTTCCCGTTTGCTTCCTGTCCACACAAAACTTCCTACTATTAGTTTTATTTTCACTCGCCATTGCATTTATGCTCACCAAACAATTAAAAGGTCGCTGGTTCGATCCTGAGAAAAGTCAGTAGCTTTTTGATGGTTCGAAACTGGGCCCAGCTGTTCCTTGTGTTCATTGGGCTTTAAATAATGATACTAACTGATTAAACAGCTGATCTTAGTCAGGAACAAAGCTACACAGATCATTACACGCCATTTTACACTCATCATTCACTCATATTTGGGTTAAACACGCACCTAGGTGGTGTCCCTATCTCAATAAATTGATCAATTGATTCATTTATATTGCCTTGCCTTCTTTCACATTCATCTTTTTCCGTAAGTACTGAACAAACTTTTACACTATTGTCATGGCACTAGGCTCTTACTTTACCTAATTGACAATCACTTCACTGTACTGTACATCAGTGTCAAATTATTTTACAGAATCTCACTACAAATCCGGTACAGCGAGTTGTGAGTTGTGGCAAACGAAAGTACTAAACATATTTCTTTTCTTTAAACACTTCTAAAATACTCCGTCTTCGATATAAATGAAGCACACCCCTCAAACAAACATAAAACATAACCAGAATAACTATAAACAAACAAACAATAACCACCATGACATCAAGTAGAGTTCGCTGGTACCAAGACATTTTAGCTGTCGCTGGCTTGAGGTGGGCAGCCCCTTGATGACGTAGTACGTAGTTGGTCCAGAAGACGACGGCTTGCTTCGGTGACATTGGGGTATCTTGGAGTATACGAGACAGCCTTCTCATGTTATCTCGATATCTGAAAGTTAAGAGCAAAAATTAGGTGCTTTAAAATCTAGAGGAATAAATTACGCAACGCTATCCCTTAAGTTCATATTTATTTTGTCCTTGGACCCCCCAAGGAAACATTATAAACAAGGTTGTTGCTGTAGAATGTATGGTAACTATACTATCTTCAATTAATCAGTAGTCAAGTTGGTTACGGTACCTCCATTATTAGTATGGGAAAAATTACAAAAAAAGAGAATACAAGCAAGTTAATGAATTAAAAGTTAGCCAAAACTAGGTTGAAAACGAAAATGTGTGTAGTGTAAGTATATTAATGTTGTATTAAGTATGTTCTTTTAGTCATATGATTTATTTGTGTTTAAATATCTTTTGTTGACAGATGTTTTTTGAAAACATGTTTTGGTAAACATTGGTTGAGTTGGAAATAGAGTTTGTTGAAACAAGATGTGTGTTTAATATTCTTGTATTAAAAATAGAACATGGTGGCAGCTTAGTGGATTTTTATCGAACTGAAAGTCTAAAACCACGCATAATGTCAAGTAAGGGCAGAAAAAAACGAAATACTCGGAGGCACAGGTATGAGGATAACGGTGAGGACGACGCCCAAAGTGAACTCAACTACGTTTCAGAAAGGGACTCTAGAAAGACTAAAGATGAGTCACGAGGTTTTGCATTGGGACATACGAACCGAGAAAATGATGCAGCTATGTATACTCCTACTCCAATGGTCAATATCACGTTACCAACTCCAGAAACGTTCTCTTTTACTCCGAATGAGTGGCATTCCTGGAGGAATCGCTTTCAAAGGTACAGACGGGGTTGCGGTCTGGATAGCACTTCCGACACTCGGCAAATCGATGTACTTTTGTTTGTAATGGGTAGTAGAAGTGAAGATATTTTCGATTCGTTTTCACCAAAACCTAATACTTATGACGACGCTCTTAGGGCCTTTGATGAATACTTTGTGCCAAGACGGAATACTGTATAATTTATGAAAGATCAAAATTTTTGAGACACAAGCAAGGGAGTGATCCATCTGAAAAATTTATAACAGATTTGCATGGCCTTGCGAAAACGTGTGCATGGGGTGAACTAAATGATGAGATGATGCTTCTCGTCCTCATTATTGGTATGCAAGATGAGGGTCTGAGTGATAGACTCCAGCTGGAATCTCAATTGACTCTGGAGAAAGCAATTAATACCTTGCGCCAACATGAGGAGCTAGAACGCCAAAAACGTGAACTTGCCAATACTAATGTTTTTTTGGTAAATAAAACGTCAGTTCAAAACGGTAGACCGAATCGGACAGAAGGAGTTTGTGACCAGAAATACATCGAGGATGCAGAAAATACAAAGAAGTGCAGGAAATGTGGTTATGATTGGCACGGATCACTGGCCGAATGTCCTGCTAGGAAAGCCAAATGTGACAAATGTTCCGAGATTGGACATTTTTTTCGATGCTGTCCCTACCGCGAAAAGTGGATGAGAAAAAACAAAAACGTTGTTAAAGAAATCGAACAGCAAGTTTCAGACTGTGGAGATCTACAGGTTCCTGAGATTTTCATCGGAATATAGAAAACAATGACAGAGCCTGGGCCCAGGAGGTAAAAGCAAGCTGTGGAAACCAAGTGTTAGGGCTTATAAAATTTAAACTTGACACAGCCGCTGATGTAATCATGATTCCAGTAGGAGTTCTTGGCGATTTTATTAAGACTCTGCCTCTAGGAAAGTGCAAATCCCCTGTGTACAGTGCAAAGAAGAAAGAACGAATCAATATTTTGGGAACTTTAAGGCTGAAGCTTGAACATAAGGGTGTATCAATTTATGATCATGCGTATATTTCTGAGGAGATCACTGTTCCACTTCTTAGCAGACGTTCCTGTGAAGAGCTGAACCTGGTGAAGAGGATCTTTTCTGTAGATTCATCAGATATTGACTGGGTTACTAAGTACCCTAATTTATTTCAAGGATTGGGAAATATGAAAGGAGAGTACAAGATAGAAATGAAGGAGAATGCAGTTCCTTATGCTATATCTACCCCCAGGGTTGTACCAATACCTTTAAAAAGCAAGGTGAAAGAGCAGTTAGAGAATATGCTTGAAAAAGGAGTGATTGTCCCAGTTGAAAACGCGACTGATTGGTGCGCACCAATGGTAGTTTGCGCAAAAAAGAGAGGTGGGGTTACGATCTGCGTGGACCTATCCAAACTCAACAACAGTGTGAAACGTCGGTTTTATCCCATTCCAAAGATTGAACTTTCATTGTCCCAGATCGTGGGAGCCAAGTACTTCAGCAAGATCGATGCGAATTCCGGGTTCTGGCAACTGAACCTTGCAGAGGAGTCTCAAGATTACACAACATTTATCACCCCTTTCGGGAGGTATAAATTCTGTAAGGTACCTTTTGGAATTACATCTGCTCATGAAGAGTTTCAGCGCCGTATGTCAAAAGCTTTAGAAGGGGCAAAGAACTGTTTAGTGCACATTGATGACTGTTTGATATGGGGAAGAACGAAAGAGGAACACGACGAGTGTCTTAGAGCCGTTCTAGAGAGAGTGCAAGCTAATGGAATCGCTTTGAATAAGCAGAAGTCTGAGTTCTGCAAGAAGACTGTGACATTTTTGGGGTTTGTGCTGTCTAAGGAAGGAATCAAGCCTGATCCAAGCAAGGTACAAGCAGTTGTGGACTTACCAGCCCCAAGTAATGCTAATGAAGTCCAGAGATTCATGGGCATGATCACTTTTCTGGTTAAATTTATTCCGAACTGCAGTGAGGTTATAGAGCCAATTACGAGCTTGTTAAAGACTAAAAAAGATTTCTTTTGGGGACCAACTCAGGAAAAAGCTTTTGTCACAGTGAAACAGATTTTATCATCAGAGCCATGTTTAACTGTTTACGATCCGGAAAAGCCCTCGATTCTTTCTTGTGATGCTTCAAAAAAAGGTCTTGGAGCGGTTTTACTACAAGTTGAAGGAGAAAATAAGAAACCTGTGGCATATATATCTCGGACTCTAATGCCTGTTGAAGAAAACTACAGTAACATTGAGAGAGAAGCGCTTGCGTGCACTTGGGCAAGTGACCGTTTAAAATGTTTCCTGATGGGTAAAATGTACACAATTGAGAGCGACCACAAACCGCTTGTCTCAATTTTCAAAAGACAAAATTTGGAAGAGCTCTCACCGAGGCTACAGCGATTCCGAATGCGTATGATGAGATACGATTATCGCATGACCTGGACCCCAAGAAAAGACCTTGCCATAGCAGATCTGCTATCGAGATGTCCTATTCCGGCTAATGAAGATGGCGAATTGACAGAAGAAGTGGAAGCCTTCGTCCATGAAATCAGTATGATTAGAATAAACACTACAGACGAAAATGTGACAAGTACTTCACTCACAAATGAGGGATCCAATATGTGCACAACTCAAGCTAAACATTTTAGACGAATGGCCTGGAAAATCAAGTTTACCTAATGAGATTCAAGAATACTTACTTTAACGTGAAAGACGAGTTAAGTTGTATTGATGGGTTATTGCTTCGAGGAACTCGGATGATAATACCTCATGAACTACGAGCGGAAATGCTTGAGAGGCTTCACAGTGGGCACTTGGGAATCACAAAAACAAGGAAACGTGCTTTGGAAACCATGTGGTGGCCTGGAATTTCTCAAGAAATAGAAAGAAAAATAAGTGACAATCTTCCATATACTTTGGTTGGAAATCCTGTTGACTTTTTTGAGAGGGAGAATAAGTACCAGTCGAAGTATAAGATGCAATTTGATAAACGACATGGGAACGAGGGGTTTAAGTGAATTAGAAGGAGGGAAGCATGGTATGGATCACAGATCTACGTAGACATGGTAAAGTAGTCAGGAAATTGAACAAACCACGTTCCTACCTTGTGGACATTGACAAGAAAACCATTCGACGAAACCAGAAGTTCTTAGTTCCTGCACCATACTACGGAGAAGATTGCATTCTTTCAAACTGTTCATCTACGGCCCTTAATTGTCCATCTAACTCACGTGATCGTCCAGACGCTGGCACAGTTACCCATTACGGAAGGTCCATCAAGATACCGAGGCGGTACCGAGCTTCATGAAGATGTAGACATCTTGAGGCGGGATGTTGTATTAAGTATGTTCTTTTAGTCATATGATTTATTTGTGTTTAAATATCTTTTGTTGACAGATGTTTTTTGAAAACATGTTTTGGTAAACATTGGTTGAGTTGGAAATAGAGTTTGTTGAAACAAGATGTGTGTTTAATATTCTTGTATTAGAAATAGAACAATTAATAAGAAAATTTAGCCCTTTTTAGAGGATACGCAAAAAAATCCATATTTACCTTACCATACCTTACTAGTACTCGAACAATTATGAAGGTCATATTGATAAACATCACTTTTGCGTGTGAGCAGGGTAAACCTATTTACAAAAATTACATTTAAGCTGGAATTGTCTGGGTATACCATTCCTGGGAAATCATCTGGGTCATAGTGATCACTTTTGAATCTGAAAGTACTGGCTTGAACCTTAATTGTATTGGTTCTGGACCCATAATGCTTTTCATCGCTGGGCTAATAATTAACCATGGTATCCAACTAGTAGTTCAATTTAGGAAATATATTGGTCCTCTCTATAACAAGAACATAACAAGGCCAAAAACATCAAAAAACACAAACAAATACTCAAATGCATTGTAAAACTTCCCACTAACTTTGTGTTGCCAAGTACATTACGTATCGCGGTGGTAAGTGTGGTCTCGGACACCTGATCAGGGAGGAGCCTGACCCCGACCTCCTTGGCCACGTAGTAGGCGACGTTGCGGTGTTGGTCGGCGAAGTGAGGGATGCCGACCACGGGCACTCCGGAGTGTATAGTCTCATAGAAGCTGGCAGCGCCTCCGTGGGTGATGAACAACACGCAGTTAGGGTGAGCTGGGGGCAATTGGTTAAATTAGACTAGAACTATTTGTAGAAAGCAGTTAGAAATTGTAAAACCAAACAATACTATGACCAACGCTTAAACAATCAAACCAAAAGGATAGGAATCTAGTATAATTTTAAGTGAACTAAAATGTCATTATGTTTTGTAATACGCAGATGGTGTCAAATAAACTCTGAACCAACAAACCAAGGGTCGAAAAAAATTTGTAATTTTTTTTTTTTGTGGGAAGCTAAAGCTTTTCAAATACTACCTTCGATTTAATAATAATCTGTGTTATTTGAAGAAATGTAATTCAACTATTCAACAGCTGAAGTGAGATATTCAATGCAGAGATAATTTTTACAGGCTAAATACTAGTCTGTTGTACTTTTTGTGACGTATTTACTATCCACTGCAATGCCTTTGGCGACTAACAAAAGAATTCCAGTATAAGAATATTTATTTGGAACCATCTCGCCTTGCAGATCCATTAGATCCAATAGATGTCCTATAGATTGACTGTTAAAATAAAGAACATTCTTTGTGTATACGGATTTTATGGGCGAAATTATTTATTGATCATCTCAAAGTAATATTGATAGGAGTAAACTGTCAAAACCTAATCTGTTTGAGGTTAATACAAAATGTATCACATAATTAATTATCCAAATTACCAAGCCTATCTTACCCAAAATGTCGCTCTGAGGCATCCATTTCACCAGCATCACGTTTTCTGGTAGATTATCAATTTTCTCCATCCTTGTCTTCCATATTACTCTCTGAGGCCGCTTCCTGAAGGTGTTGGCAATGCCAGTGAAGTATTTTGTAGGTTTCGTTTCATCAGGAATGACACTTCCGAGAGCGAACAGGATGACTCCAGCTGTCGCGTTGTCCATGAACTCTTGAATATCCTTGGTAATAGTGAGCCTGTTGTGAGATTTACCCTTTTTAACGTCCTAGAATAGTCTAAATCAGTGGACGAATAATATATTGGCTTTGCTTCGTGTATAATATATTGGAATTATGAACAAAGTTGTCACCGGTAGAAAACCGCCAACCAACACACAAAATGCATGCTGATAAACTAATCTTGCTATTTCCGAGATTGGTTTTCGTTTTTTGTGCCCTAAGAAATACACTGTAATTAATTCGATAGACAATTGAACAGAAATTCATCAAAACTTTCTCTTTTATGATACTTTATGTTTTTATTTACCATGGATAAAAAAAAAATATTTCAAACTGTGAATATATATATCGCTTATATTTTGAAACTGTGATAACGTTTGTTTTTATAAAGTGAAGTGACCATGTAAAGACAGAACACAACATAACAAACATCTTCTTAAACATCTTCTTACAATGTAATGGTTCAAGTTCTGCTGCAATAGGGAAATGTTTTCTAAGTCTGAGAATTGATTACTTGCACATGCAAACCGTTACCAATCTGTGTATGACCTTGTCTCATATCAGCTCTGACTCAGCTTATTATTCAGTGTAAGAGTAGCTTTGTTGTAAGAAACAATAACCTAAATCAATTTAATAGTTATATAGCTTTTAGTGGAATTAGTTCTTGACTAAAAGTCCGCCTCATTTCCATAGCATTGTTTTAGCATGTCAAAAGCTTTTGGTGTTTTGTAGGATTTGCACCTTTACTTCTAATACACGAGTTTTACTATCAACGTTTTTAGCACTAGACTATAGCTGAGCCTGTGCATATTTGTCTTGGGCAATCACCCTAGACACAAATATATAACAGAATTATATGGATTGTGAGAGTGTGCGTTTTACAATTTTTAGTTAATGTTGTACGTTTACGTCTTGTAAAATTGAATTAAGGTATTTAACGTTATATGGTTTTTAGGTTTTGTCGCAACGAAGTAGCAAAAAACTGGTAAACTGCTTGAACCGACCATCACGATTATGATGTGTAGGAAATATATACAATAAAATGAATGAAAAGTGTATTAGCAAGGTGCAAAATTAAAACGAAACATTACCTGGTCTAATTTAATACCACAACCTAATAAAAATTATTATTTTGTGGCAGATAAACAAGATTAGCGGCTAATTTATTATTGACCATGTAAAACCAGCAGATAGCACTTTAATTTGTTGAATTTTTAAAATATACAGTGTAATTTATAATTATTTAGGATATACACACCCCTTGTTTATAATAGTGTAACACTGTACAGTATAAAGTAGTATTTTAGCTAAAAACGTCTGACAATCTAGCATACACTAATAACACTGCATTACCTGTGGTAACGGTTTCACAGGGTCAATATGTATCCCAGCCACAGGAACAATCGTCATTGGTCTAGGCTGAGCGTAGTCCAAGGTTTGGTGCTCGTTGACGAACATCAAAGACACATCACTGACCAACTCCTGCAAGGGAGGCGCGTCAGGGAAAAACTCTTTCATCCTCATCTCTACATTGGGCAAGTGGTGGACGTAGTACGAGTAGATCCCTCCGACAAGAGCCACGAAGTTCGTGAACCTCTCCCAGTAACTCATACGGTCCGAGTGGGCGTAGCACATCTGAGGAATGTGAGACACAGAGAACACGTTCCCCATGTTTAGGTTCACCAAGCTGTTGGCAGAGTAGGTGTGGATCCCGATGGTCGGAGCTTGGAACTTGTGGCCAAAGATCAGGTTAAACTCTTGGCCTTGGTAGGGTTCTGTGATGACCAAGTCGAATCTTTCATCAGACTTGAGGAGTTTAATGATTCCTGAGTTTCCAAAGGTTCTTTCCATCAACTTGTCGTAGCGGCTGAATATGTTTTCGAGGCAGTTCCAGTTTCTGGACGCTGAAACAATAGTTGAATCTATATAAGGTATCGTAGTAAACATAAATAATGAAATACATTATTTAGTAGAAAAGATATACACTTTAGTTTAAAAATGTATTATTTTGTTTAAAATTAAAAATTTAAAAAATTGTTGTCGTGAACCTTGGTTGGATGCATGAAAAAAATTTAAAACGAGAATGGGACACCAAATTGATAATTTAAAGTGCAAAACGCAATGGTACATGAAAATATTTTTTTAAATTGTTACCAGACAATACAAAGCAATTTTACAGGAAATATATTTGTAAATCTTAGGAATTATACAGTATATCACAGTGTAGTGATTTATTGCAAAGGGACCCCTTTAATCTTTTATAGATAGGTTAACTAACAATTTCTAAAATCTCAAACACCGGATTTCAACATTAACACCTTCCTAGCAAAAGCCTTTGCTGATTAGAGAGATTTTTGCTTTGGCCTTTACGCTCAAACAGTTCTAACAACAGCTGTACCCAACCATTCCAATCCAAATCCTATTAGGCGAATAGCACATACAATCTTGTTTGTAACACATTTAGTAAGTCAGTAGACTTGTAGCTACATATTGAACTTGACCACTCCAACAAACTCCACTATTGATTCATAGTGTTCACTAACCATTGTAGGGTATTCCCTCACTACTTCCCAGTGTGACGTCAGTGTAGTTGGGAGGAGGATCTTCCAGGGAGTGAACCCCATAGACGGTGACGTCATGGCCAGCCTCTGCCAGTGTCCTCAGGATGGCCTGGATGATGACATGGTGACTCCTGGCTGACCCTGGGACTACTGCCAGGATACGCGCGCCTTCCACCGTAAATGCCAACGTTAGAGACAAGAACAGCAATATCATCTGGTAAAAATAAAGTATAATGAAATAACTAGGTGGATGACCTTGCACTTATTGTTAAAATGTTAAACATATGTTTCCTATATTTATTTAGGTCAACATATGCATGTTTTATAACTTCTACTCAGGACTACGATAAAAATCCACAAAGAGTGATATGTATTTGACTTTATATTGAGCATTAACTTTATATTACCTGTTGATCTATAATGTTTATTAGTTAACAAGATTTGTTACTTAAAATGGTTTACAATACCTGCATATAGTAATCCTTTGTTGCTGATTTAGGCAACTAGTTTCGGTTCTTGTTTTGAGCCATCTTCAGGCCTCAAGGTGTCAAGTGATCACTTCATTCGAAGGTCACTTCATTGAAGTGATCACTTGACACCTTGAGGCCTGAAGATGGTTCAAAACAAGAACCGAAACTAGTTGCCTAAATCAGCAACAAAGGATTACTATATGCAAGTATTGTAAACCATTCTAAGTATAATATACCCCCGCCGCAGCAAACCTGCAGACTAAGCGAATTTCCATTTGACTGATTGGATTTACACTGAAATGTCTACTTAAAAATATAACATTTATTCCCGATTTAAATAGAAATAGTTTAACAAGTACTTAGGTTTGCTGCATCAGGGAGGGTAAAACTTTTTTTTGTAAAATGTTAATAGTTAGTAAGAAATAAAAACATTTTCCAAATTTGATCAAAATATGTTTATAAACAAGCAAACTACAACAGTTTACTATTTACTTATTCTCCATAAGAATAATATGGGAATTTTAAATTTACAATTTTTTGGAATTTTCTCCGCAACCATTAGGCGCATAATAACGCTTCAATATACTAAATTATTTGTTTTTTAAGCTCTACAAAATGGGTTTGAAAGAAATTGCTAAATTTTACGTTTTTTTGGGTCAAAAATGGGAAAACCTATTTTTACCCCATAAAACCCCCCGTAAACCCCCGTTCCCATGGTCCGATCATGCTGGATCGCGAACTCGTTCGAATTAAGGTAGGTTTGCACGTTTGTACCAAATTTGATCAAAATCAGATCATTTTTGCTCGAGTTATTGTGCTGACGGACACATATATATATATATACCGGGTGTCCAAAACCACCCGTACACCCCTTTCAAAACGATGGAAACCTTTTCTTACAAACAAAAAATAATACAGAACTAGCTAAATTCGGCACGGTCTACCAAATGGTGATAATTTCAAATCCAAAATCACACCGGAAGTGGCTTTTTCAGACCGGAAGTTGACTTTTTTAAATGTAAACTACCAGTTTTGATTACAGAATCGGATTCTACGTTGAAAAATACATAACTTTTGTCACAAACATTTTTGAAACACTTGTTTTCTACCTCTAATCCCCCATTAAAGTCAATAAATTTTGGTCATTCATGTGTAAAAGTTACTCGAAACAATAATAGATAAAAACAAATAACAAAGATTACATAAAGACATATGATTAATAGAATCAGCTGTTTATTTTAAACACCTTAGCAATTGAGTAACAGCTGGTCTACACATTGCTAAGTTTAATTATTTTATAATTTATTGTTACATATGACTCCTTAAATGTAAAAACATAGGATTTGTTTTTAAAATAAAATGAAATGAAGCAATGTGTAGACAAGCTTTAACTCAATTGCTAAGGTGTTTACAATGAACAGCTGATACTATTTATCACATGTCTTTATATAATCTTTGTTATTTGTTTTTCTCTATTATTGTTTCAAGTAACTTTGACAGATGAATGACCAAAAATTATTGACTTTAATGGGGGATTAGAGGTAGAAAACAAGTTTTTCAAAAAATGTTTTAGACTAAAGTTATGTATTTTTCAACGTAGAATCCGATTCTGCAATCAAAATTGGTAGTTTACATTTAAAACAGTCAACTTCCGGTCTAAAAAAAGCCACTTCCGGTTTGATTTTGGATTTGAAATTATCACCATTTGGTAGACCGTGCCCAATTTAGCTAATTCTGTGTTATTTTTTGTTTGTAAGAAATGGTTTCCATCGTTTTGAAAGGGGTGTACGGGTGGTTTTAGACACCCGGTATATAAATACATGCTGGTTCGCGAACTCGTTCGAATAAACATAGGTTTACACGTTTGTACCAAATTTCATCAAAATCGGATCATTTTTGCTCAAGTTATCGCGCTAACGGACACATATATAAATATATATATATATATATATATATATGAATTTGAACGGATGGTGTTTTTGGCCTCTAGGGACCTCAAAACGAAAAAAAAATCGGTCCCGCGTCCAGGTCTTACCATGAGTACTACGGTAATAGCTTATTCTCTATGGGAAATTCGCTAACAGTAATCCGGAGGCTAAACATATTTTTAAAATGAAGATTTGTTAGGATCATTAAATTAACATAAACATTGTTATTCAACCTATTATATGCTTCAATTTTTTGTATTCCATATTTTATATTTGTATAGACTTTATGCATTATCAAATAATTGTGTTGATGTCGAGAAAGTACAGGAAGGCCATCAAAAACTGTAAATTGTCTTCAGGCTATCCGAAGAATATGAAGAAATATGGGCGCAAGTTTAATCTATGCTTAAACCTAGTTGAAATCAAGTGTTTTTTTTATTTATTTTTCATTTGGAACAGAAAAGTAAACAATTTAAATTAAAAAGTTAAATCGGTTACGAAGTTTACCCTGACTATCAAAAGTAGCCTATAAACCACTTTGCGTTTTACATTCAAAATAACTTCTGAAGTATACATTTGTGAAGTATACATTGGTGAATATTATTTTTTTATTACAAAATATGCATAGCTTAAACAAAAAAAAAACATCTTTTATCTGAAAATTGGAAACATTAAGATAATAATGAATTTTAAATAAATTATTGGCTTCAAAATGTATCTCAATGTTAGTTTATATGGAAAGCATTGAATACTTACATTTAGTTGAAGTGGTTCACTTCATCTCCATCATATCTACATCACACAACAGTAGATAAGCAAACATGTGTAACTATGTTATGCACCTTATAGGGCATCAAGTGGCAACTTGACTGTTTGAACTAGCTATTGTTACGAGGAACACATTTCCTTCACCGTTATTGCTTATCAGCTGTGGCGTTTATGTTTACGCTTATCTATTCTTACACCTTCGTTCCCGAGAATTATATGATAAGAGTTCGCACCATTAACCTAGTTTAACAAAGTTTATACCTAGAATAAATCAGGAGACAGGTTAATCTTACCCGGTGCTAAATTATAATGTTTGCACAGTTAGTTAGTAATACATGTGTTTGATTGGGTATGTACTTTGAAACAATAAAGAAATAAATTTCTATTGAAAATTGTCCTACTACTTTAATAAACGGTTAACACTTTACTTCGTTATAAATTAGAATTTTAACGCCCAAGTTTACATCAATTATTGTTCTATGGTGGAGTAGCTCTAACTAGCTTATTGAAGAGAACATAGTCAAATCAGCCTCTTATAACATGCATTACCTTTAAAACTACTATCCCTCCACTATATGGTAAAATTTAGTAATTTAAGAAAATTGGAATAAATATTATTTAAATGTATTATACTAATGGTTGAGATGAAGGTGTAATTTTAAAACTTACTTATTCTATACATTTAATCTTCAACCTTGTTCTTTTAGGAGCTACAACAGGATACAGAATTCACATGGCAAGCCATATTTTCCAAGCTACTAACCTAACTTACTATCTAGTATCTACTAAACTAATCTTTATATAGGTGGAAATTTTGAGATTCGAACCCGTGACCATAATTTCTGGAACATTCTGTGCTTGGATGAAATTGATTGATCGTGTGTGATTAAGGGGAATAATTTTATTTTGCGTTTCAAGGTAAAAACGTACTCCCGTAAAAGTATGCGTACGGATGATCTGCTTCACCTGTATAAGAATGGAAAATTGGATGATAAAAGAAATTGGATTTTGGAAAATTGGATGATTAAGCATAGAATTTACTTTCTTTAATTTAAGTTGATTAAAAAGTGTATACTAGTATTAATAAATAGGGATACTGACTTTTTAGATCAATCAATCAATCAATCAATCAACATAACTTCTATTTTAGTAAAAATTAAGCTTCATTAGTGTTAAAGTACAACAAACAGTGTTAGAAAGATCTCTAGTTAAACTAAATCAATATAAGTAACTACTGTACCATATAATTTACATTAAAATTTAGATCCTTAAACTCATTGTTGCAGTAAATCAGCTGATTGTAGAAAGCATGATGAAGCTAAAATAACAATTGAGCCGTAGAGACTCAATTAAATCCACACCATGTCGCAGAAGACTGGTAGCGAATTGCGAATGTCGGTTACACCTGCGACAACGTCTTCAACTGTCAAGTCAAACTCGCGTCAATAAGTCCCCGTCTTGCCAGATGGTGCAGCTGCTTTCAAATTTCCTACATGAAAATGTTGCAGAATATTAAATGTACAATTCTTAATATACAATAAAATATACAAGCTAAAAGCCTGTATGAGGAGAAAAACCAGCTTTAAATTAGTTTGATCTCTTTACGCATGTGGAATCAAACACATTTAATACATGTTTGTAATTATGTTTTATACACTTTTTATTTGAGTCCTGTTTTCAACCCTATATTTTCCGGATGTATTATCTATTTAGTTTTTTCGCAATGTGTGATTCGTTACTTAAGTATTAAGAACTTGTATGCAATTCTAAGATTTTAAAATACGTCACTATGCAGACTGGGTATTTTTGTAGCTTACGATATTAGCAGTTATCCAAAAATTGTCAATCCAAAGAAAAGCATCAAAGATTAATACGACCTCAAATTTACTCTGTAAAATGAAAGATTTTGACATTAATAATCTTATTTAATATGGCTTAACTTGTCATTTGCACACTGTGTGCAAGCAACTAATATTTTATTTCAAATTTACTATTATAGTAAACTGAAAGTCATACGATACACATTTACTAAATAGGATTTGAACCCTTAAATGTCTACACAAATACACTAAATCCTATAGACCTTGATTGATTTGTGATGTTATGGACGTTGATGGATGTAATATAAACAGACGAATGTAAAGAACGTTTAAAACTATTCTCTATCTCCCATGAGCCATCCGATATCTTTTCGTCGAAGGAAATCTCAAGTTGACGGATGACTTCACGCAGCTGACGGCACAATTTGAATAGGAAAAAATCAATCTGGAAATTCAATCTCAGTCACCTCCCCCACACCATTTAGGGTCACTTCTCTTTTTACGAGTTGACAAACTGTTTTAATAATACAGAAGGGTGCATCGTATTGTCTCTCGCCGGTCAAAATATGATGAGGAGAGCTAGAAATGTTAATCTCGCAAAATTAACAGCTTGAATGTTTGTTACTATATTCCCCTATATACAAGAAATGGGTTATTGTCCACATTTTCGAATTTAAACATTGAATGTAAATATCCCTGTTGAGTTCCCGTGAGCCTAAAACAAGTTTTTTTTTTTTAATGAGATGTGCGTGTTTGTGAGATTTGCACAAAAAGGGTATAGCAATATTGTAAAAATATTGTGATTAAAAGGGTTTGTTTTCTTCGTGATTTTTCCCTTTGATAAGAAAATGTTAGGTTACTACTACCAGTAACCACACGCAAAGAATTGTTGACAAGCCAATAGGGAAAAGTGTGTGTCCGTTTGTTGATACCATTTATTGAGCAAACATATTACATGTGGTTTTACACTGAATTCATCATTTATAAATTATTGCTTGCATTTCTTGAACTTAATTTAGTATGAATAGGCCCATACATATAAATTGGATAAATGAGGGCAGTTGAGTAGAACGTACAACATAGGGTGCAATTGTTAGTTAGTTAATGATTATTTTTTATGTAGGCCAGCAACAACTCTTTAAACAAGCCAAAACATAAAAGGTCAAATAACTTATTGTAATATAAATGCCATTTAACGCATAATTTGTTTGTTAATTAAACCCGGAGTCCATCATAATCCATTTTGCTTTGCATTGTATAAAAAAAAAAGATTTCTACTTTGGAGATTTGACCATATTTTCTGATTACCATAATTATTTTTTTAGGAAGGCTCGTGTTTAAAGTTTACCTATCAGAAATTAATACTTAACAAGATCTATGATTCGTAAGAAGAATTGCCAACTTAAACACTGGATTACTTTCTGTTCCACTAAAAGCAAACACAAAATGTAAATGATAATGAAAAGGGAGTGGATTCTGGCATAAGCATTCCAACAAAACCAGGCTTTGATGTTGCCGAGGTTGTGGATTAGTTGAGAATATGAGAGACAAACATTCTCTTGAGTCTCAACAGCGCTTTTGATCCAGAAGAAAAACATTTCATTCTATTATGGTATTGATTTGCTGTTAGTAATAGTAAACTGAGAAAATGTCACTAATAGCTTTCTCCATACAACATTAATAATTATGTAGTTAGTTAAGTAAAACCCTATGCCGCTTAAAAATTCTAACAATGTATAGATTTGAACTGGTTTAAGACTTCAGAAGATTGCTTGAACCTAAAATTTACACAAATTACGTCTACTTGGGTCTCAAAGGCATGTGCGAGGAATTTTGCCATCACATCAAGGAGTGAACTAGGGCAGTACACAATTAAATAGAATGTACTGTCATATATGATGCAGCATCTAAAGGGGAACTCATTGATATCACTTGTACGGATTTTTAGTCCTTTGCAGTATTAATTATTGGGCTCGTCAACCAACCTTTTGCAGAGATTTTCATTTAGAACACATAGAACTCACTGAGAATTGGCTACGTGTAAAATAAAATGTGCAACATTCGATTTGTGAAATCCCGGAATCTTCACAAAGAATGAAGAAGTACAAGACAAATAAATTAAATGAACCTTTCTTAACATCATTAACTTTGGGAGTTTGACGTTTAAATATAATGATAATACGTCAACTTAAGCCTACAGTAAAACATAGATAAACTCCTTCGCCATGGCATGTGTTCATGTATTAACTTTTTCTTAACCATTTATTACAAAGCAAACAAACTTTAAATAGAAGATAATCATGTTATTCTCAAGGTTGAGCTGTTCTAGTTTGCATAAACTATTAATTTCAAAACTTACACCACATACATATTCATTTTAATATACATATTATATTTTTGATAATATTTGGGGAATTTACTTAATGCATGCTAAACTCCTAGGCCTATATTTCCCCTACGAACAAAATTACCTTCCCTGTAGCAGTGAACATAACTAGGCCTACTCTATTAAACCTAATTTTTTTTTCATTGGGAGTATTTCATTTAATATTTTAATATAATTTTCTCATATAATACACTGTATGGTAAAATCGTGTAATATATTATCTTTATATTAAATATAATTTAATCATTTAAATCTTACATTTTAAGGACAAACTTAGATGAAAATCCAATCTGGAAAATGAAAATGAAGGTTTTTTGCGGTGAACATATTCATTTTTTGTTTTTCACAAATATAATCAAACGTTCATCTTAAAATGTTCGAATGAAAGCTCAAAACGCTCTGTAATAGGGAACATCTGCAGCCAACGCCGTAAATAACATAAATTGCCGTGCGTTACAGAAGGGATTTTTCGTGTGTAAGGGTTGGTAGTAAAGGGTAGGTGTTAGACAGATGTCTGGTGGCTGTAACTTGATACAGCTTGAAAAGTAATTAAAACTCCAAACAACATTTTAACCAGGCGATTTAATTAAAGTGTTTTTAAAAGTGACATGTGCAATAGTTTAAAACTCTTGTAAGAAAGTTCGTTTGAAAAATATTTATCTCGCAACTGTAAAATCTTTATCTTTATCTGTACCTAATGTAATATTTAATTTATTAACTATCGTATACTAAATACACATAAGATTTGGATGTTTAAAAATAACTAAATGCAAATAAACAGTTTGTCTGGGAAGAACCCCTTATTTTAAATAGTTTTACTGA